AAAAAAAATACCAATCAGTTCTTCCATGAAAACAAACATGTTTTCTTCCACTGAAAGGAATGTTCTTTTCCTCAGAAGCCAGAGTCTCTTCTCCCCCACCCTTGGCAATGACCTGCTAGGGTTTAGAAAAACATCAGGGTCCTGGACACAGCACTTCAACAATGTCTCCTTCCAGCTGCTGCAAAAAAATTAACCTTGTCCTGGCCAAAACCAGAACAAGAAGAAAGAGTAGATGCACTGATGACTGTGAAGAAAAGCATGCATAGTACAAGCACCAGTGGTGCATGTTTCATCATGAAACCTCACCAGTTCTTCTGAATTCCAATTTGAAAAGGCTTTATTGAATGCTAATCTTTTTGCTGAAAATATAAAATTATAATAATTGCAAAATTATTAATGGAATTACCACTGGTAATGATGAGTATTAACCAAATAAGTAGTTCTGTATTTAAATTATGTTGTCTAATGGTATGTTATTATCAGTTGCTTTATGATAACATGACAAAGTACTTGAGTAACACAGTTCAGAGCAGTTCAAAGGGGAATTTTATTTACATGAAAATAACAGCCATTTATGAACAGAAACAATGAAAATATATTTTTACAGTTGAAATATACTGAAAATACTTATTTTAATTGAATTATTATTCTGTCTTCAGTATTTCCTACAAATAAGTAATTCCTGAAAGTAGTACAAAATATCATGCTTTTATTCAGGCTTGCTTTCTTAAGCAGGCTAAAGGATAAGTTTTCAAATTACTTTTGAAAAACATAGATGTCTTAAGTGAATATTTCAGATCTGTCAGAATAGGTTTTTGAACTTGATGCCCAAACTAACCTGAGTCCAACAGTAACATTCGTGATAGTTTTTCAACATCTTTCATTAATCAATATAAGAATCTCCTGGACTTCGGAATCACTCAAATCACAGAGACCAGTTTCTAAGTCTTGCATGGAAAGAGGTGCACTAGAGCCAGGGAAATATTCTGTCATAGTTATATATTTTTAGAGGACAATTACAACTGTGAAGAACATGCAGGTCTTTCATGGGCAGCTCACATGTATTATTACAGGCATGAACTTCATGCCTTACATGCAACACATACAATGTCTGAACACATGGGAAGTTTCAAGAGGTCAAACATCTGCAGTGTTATTGGTTGTTCACAAGTTTGATCTATCATTTAAAATCTGTGGAAAGTCTTTTGGCAGCTAATCAGCATTCACTATCTGGTTTAAATCAGCAAATAGGCAAGAAGTAATTGGATTTAAATGGATCCCAATAAAATAGGTGTTAACAGAAAATACTTCTAAATAACAAACTGTCGTGATAGAGCTTGATCCTGTGAAATATGGCCAAATCTACAAAAATCCACAGGGAATGTACTGATTGTATTGGTTGTTAAATAGAGCACCAAGAAATTCCACTTCCAATTAAGTAGTTTATTTGTAGTAGCTTTTTTATTGTGCTACTGCTGACCTGATGCAAATAAGATGTTTTCATGGCCCATTTAAAAGATATAAGAATTTTCATTCTGAAACTCAATTGCCATTTTATCTGCAGTGTGGGTTGCCAGTATTTCTTACTCTTAGTCACTATGTGCTGCTTCCTTGTAAAATAGTTAACAGAGAAAAGATAACATTTACCAAAGTCATTGTACATTTTGCAGGTTTCTTGCTTCTCCTAACACAACTAACTTGTGTACATCTAGGTGTCTAAGTCACCACTTCCTTCCTGGTGCCTGTTTAGAATGCTCCTACACAACCAGTTTCATGGTTAGTCCACTTACAAATCACATTTCTCATAGTACTAAAGACCTGTTGTTCTTCTTCTCTGAGTCTGTCTTGAATCTTGGCAGACTTCACAACACAGCTATGAGGTCTGCCTATCTAAGGCTTTCGTTTCAGCCCACCTTTCTAAACCATCCCAGACTTACAAAAAGATTTCTTTCTGACATCACCAGACAGGTCAGAGATTATTTTCCTATGTGATTTTAGCTCGTGAACATACAAGTCAGTAATATGGAAAGTTGATCGTCCCAAAAAAAACCAGCCCAACAGTATCAGTTCTGAAAGGATTTCTACTGTAATTATGTAATAGTAGAACACGAAATCTCTTAAAAATCATGAAATATTATGTTAGGGAGAAAAACTTAATCCTTCTCAAAGCATTCAGTTGTCTAGGCAAGCACTGCCTATTTACTATGACCAAAGCAATTTTTGGCAGTATTAATAATGCTCAGAAACAAAAGAACTGTTTTCTGTCAGGAAAAAAATAATCCATGCAGGGAACAATGCTGTCCTGGGAGATGTCCCCTGTGGAATTTCTGAAGGGCTGAAAACAATTACAAAACTCATAGGCTTTTTACTGAAATGCGTAATGGATTTTGACCTCACCTCATTAAACAGGAGTACATAATACATTATGTATAAAACACTCAACTCACTAAATAAACATTTTACAACAGGGTAAAAACAGAACAGAGAAGAACTGGAATCACAAAAATCCTATCTTGTTGTTAAATTACATGCTTTTGGAAATCATTCTGGTAGAAATGTCTACAAGATATAGGCATACACATATGAAAAAGTCATTGCAGGCTCACTTTTGATGGAGAGAAGTTAAGCAGTTCATTGGATGTCTAAAATTCACATCTAACATGAGTCCAATAAATAATTCCCAGCAGGGAGACCTATCTTCATTAACCATAAAGGGAGTCCAGGTTGACTGGCTCAGATATGCAGGGCTAAATTGTTCATATCTAACATGAGATGAATTCCAACCTCAGAGACCACTGTAATGAGGCTGCATAAGACCTTGAAGATGTGACAATTAATTAACTCTTTGGCAAATGGTCTGTACTGCAGAATTCACCATGCAGGTGTAGGGAACAGGAACACAAGGAACAGGCAAAGCAGTCTGCCTTGTGAAGGGGGAATAGAAGCGATGCCAACAAATTTACATGCGAGTACTCACCACACAGAAACCAGCAACACCCTGACTGCTCTGGTCCAGCAGAATCAGAAGGGATCCCTTCTTCCCCACCACCCCCTGCACATGGCAGGAGGCTGTATAGGATGACCTCAGAGTCCTGGCCATGCCTTTCCTGCCTACTGCAAATGCTAACAGTGTCCCAGCCATAACCAGGACATAGCTGTACTACTCATGGGCAAGAACTGCACAGCTTATTTCACAAAGTTTGTCTCTGGTTGTTACCAGATAAGAGTTACTGCATCCTTTTCTGTAAGTTATGTATTGAGAAGAAATCTGTGTGGAAGCCAGGGTGAAGGTTTGTCTAGTCATCTTATGGAACCCGTTGTGTGTATAAATGTCCCAATATCTTATGGCAGCACATGGTAACAGAGATTTCACATAAGGTCAACCTCTGTGTAATATGGTTTACTGTACAATAATTAGGTGGAAAAGGGACAAAAAATAGTATCAATTTATATTTAAACAGCATTCTGTAATGAGTACTATGTGCTTGAGTAATACACAGAACTAAAATACATAATCTGATATTTTTAAACAAACATAGTTAATGTGGTGAATATTAAGTAACATCTTGTAAATCTTGTAAATGTTTTGCACTAAGATTAAGCCAAGTTATTTCAGAATCTATAATTCCTCAATAAAAAATTGTTATACTATTTTCAGCAATGAAAATATTTATATACATAGTCTATGAACAACTGAGAGCGATAGCAGAAAATAATTATTATATCATAATGTCTGTAAGCAAAATTACATTATGAACTGCCAATTATTTGGTCTCATTTTTGAATATAAATAAACAAGAAATTAATTTCTTTTGGTGGAAGGGCAGAATTAAGATGACTACTGCATATGTACAAGGGGCTAATGCATAGAATTATGTTCAATTGTAAACTTATATGGTATTCTCTGTCTTGCTAGGAAGCTAAAAGAAAAAAGATTACATCTTTCTAAAGATGAGGGTTAGAACTGAGAGGCACAAGCATGTCACAAACACAGGATGGCTCTGCAGGAAACTTGAACAGAGGCAAGGTTGTCTTTTCATCATGTTTTGAAAGCAGTGTGAGCATGGTGATCTCATTGATAGGAGGAAATTCAGAATTGAGAGTAGACCTTGTGTGAAACCTTTCTGAAGGCACTCTCATTTGGGAGCATTATATTATAAGAAAGTGGACCGTTTTTTTGGATGTAAGATGCCTGTGGACATACCTGGCTCGTGGGAAGGACTTGAATTTGCAATACGTATTTTGTTACTGACATCCATGATTGGGTTGGGGCTTTTTTGCTTTATCTGGGTGTAATGCCCACTGTTGTTCTTGATAAGCAGCTTCAGCTGCTGCGTTTTTATTCTTTTGGCCAAAACGGTAAGCTTTAATGAGTGGTTTGAATTCTTGGTGGGTCTCTGTGCTGTAAAAGTGGAAGTTAGTGAATATTCTCATGTTTTAAGGAAGTGCAAGCTTGTAAGATTCCCTTAAATCCAAACAGTACTTCTTTAAGAACTGTAGTATAAAGTGAAGTTTTTTAAACCCAGTAGGCAATGTTTTTTACTGTTTTTATTTCCTATACATCATAAAGAATAATTTCATTTCTTTACATACATACTCTGAAGCCTAATATATATATTGGCATTCCAACTGATACATACTTGTGAGTTGTAGATTATGGTATGATCCCATTAAATATTTTATTATAGGAGAATTAGAATATTATGACAAATGGAAGGAAAGTTTTGCCATTCTTTATAGGATGAAATAAATTTAAGCCTCCTGAAAACAGCAGTTAATTCAGTTCATATATTAAAACATGATGTTAAGCGTGTCAAAAACTAAGATGTAAGTTGAAAAGGGTAGGATAAAAATGCTTTTCCAGGTAAGACTTCATAAGAATTTCTAGTTCCTAGCTCTTAAAATTTTATCTTTATATTTTCCTTGGAGATTTTATAAATACTGTCACTTAAATTAAGCAACTAAGCAGTTTCCTTTCTTTTTTTGTTTTCTTTACATAGCAGATGGTACGTGAACAGTACCTGACAACGACACCAGGCACAAGCCTAGAGAGGCCTAAGAATGAATATATCTACAAAATTGGAATTTATGGCTGGAGAAAGCGTTGTCTCTACCTGTTTGTTCTCCTCCTGCTTATCATCCTAGTTGTGAATTTTTCTTTGACGATTTGGATTCTTAAAGTGATGTGGTTTTCCCCAGTAAGTGTCCTCTTTAATTTTCCATTCTTGACTTCTCTTCCCTGCCTTACCCCTTCACTTATTTTGTATGTACACCAGCTTCTCTGTAGGTAATAGATGGTGCTTTTTTCTTTCTTTTCAACTGTGATTTGTAATTTGGCTAAAAGTAAGTTAGAAAAATATATCTTTGAATGTACTTCCTCATATGTAATTTCTGCATTAGTAATAATTCTTGAAATACTGAGGTTGTTGATGCTTTAAATTACAGTGAATTCTAGCCATTCTGTGAGAATGTATTTTACTGTTGTCTCATAATCTGTGTTTAGTTGATAGTTTACAAATGTGTTTGCTGTAATTTTATCTCATAGAGAATTCCTCAGTTAAAATATTGCTGACAGCTGCTGTAGTTTTTTAGATTCTTTCTCCAAATTATCAGCATCTAAAATTTAACAATTTATTTGCCCAATTAATTACAGCTCAGAAGTAATTATCACTACGTCATGCTTGAGGCTAAGCAGCTATATAATTCAAAAGTAAAATTAATAACTTTCCACTGTCATATATATTTTAATATTTATAATGGAATTCTGTATGTAGTCGATTAAAGGGTAAGTTTCAGAAGTCTGCAAGATATGACTTTAGTGAGAATGGAATAAAATGCATCAATGAATATTGAAGCTTAGCTAATTTGCTTCTAACATGTAGTTGTGATACACAGATAATTTGAATAGACTTGTTACAAGAAAAACCATAATAACAAATTTTTACAGCTCTGCCCTGGCTAGTGAAGAAAGTTTCTCTTATCTATTGTTATTACACCTCTATCACTAAGTGAAGACCACTTTATCTTAATATAAATATTTCTATGCTCACTAAAAAGAAAGCATGTTAATTTTCAGTACTACTTATTAATACAGTTTTTCGTGCTTTAATTCCTGTGAGAGGTCGTCACCTACATGAATTCTTTATAGCACTGTTACTATCATGCAGATTACAGTGCAAAACATATTAGATCACATATAATTTTTATCTTATGCAGCTCACATGAAAGATATGCCTTTAGTGCCTGCATGTCATAGATCACGTAGAACATGAAAAACTTATATTTTTTTCCCTGGCTCAGGGTCCTATTTTTACAGAGTTTTAAAAAACATTTTATGTTTATTTGATTTCTACATATGAACCTGGGTATTTCTTCTCCGATACCAGTGAGGACTAAAAATAAAACAACATTAGAAAGTCAACTTATAGGAATGCCCATCTCCTTGTAGTTCCTGTGTGGAAGGTACCAAATGCCTTGATCTGCCGAGGGACAGTGTCCTTCAGCTTTTGCAACCAGAGCAGTGGAGTAACAGCTCTAGCAGTGCAGGTTTACATCCTTTCACAGAGTGGGCTGTGAATGCCACAATTACAAGGAATTTCCTAATTCTGTGTTAAAGAATCTATATGCCTGATGTGCCCAATTGGATAGTGATTTAACTGTAATGCCTTCATTAATTTGGGATAATTTTAGGGAAATATTGAAATTCATATAAATATCAACTGTAAATACATTTGTGCAAAGTGCACATGTATGTCACAATTCTCAACAAAAGAACATGTGATGTTAATAGGAGAGAACTTCTTTTACTGGGTGCTGTTTTAATAGACTACATCTCTAAAGACAAGAAGTAACTGAGGATACCAGAAATATCACCCAGAGAGCTGAGTCTAAGAAGGATGTTTAGTGCATGATCAAAGTCTGGAAGTATATAATTGAAGTACCACAGTTCTTTCCTCTGTCTAAGGAAACACCTATTGTGAAGATTTAGTGTGGCAGTTATAAGAAATACCTTTTCATGATGGAATTAAGCATTTATTTCTCCAAGTATTTTGTTGCTGTTTATAAAGAGAAGTATCAGTATAGTGTCAGAATTAGATTTTTACGATTCGTGAGTTTCAAGCTTGACAAGTATTTGCTGTTTAGGAAATGAGTTGATTCATGTGTATCACACTTAACCAATTAAGAATTTCCATGATTGGGAAGAGTTGCAAAGTAATTGTGAAATATTATCCTACTATCTGTTATTTAGCAAATACTAATCTGTCAACTGTGATAACACTTATATTTATTAATTGTATTCAGGTATACTGTGTAGAGATTATAGGACTTATTATGTTTAATATTCATAATAGATACTGTATTTTTAGCTAATACTTTAAAAGCATTTGATCCTAGTTTTAAAAAAAATCTTTAAGATCACTCTTAAAAATATCACTTGTAACAATATTTAAATATTGATAGCTAATAAGATATTAACAGCTTTTTCTCTGTAAAATAATACAAGAAACAAGTTGTATTCGCACTAAGGCTGATAAGCATATTTAGGAAAAAAGTTGCAAACATTTAAAAATATATTTTTATAGCAGAATCCTGAAGAGAGTTTACATTGAATAAAAATTTTAAACATAACATGACTGCAGTATATAATTATATAAGGAAAACAGTTTTTCAATAATAGGGGCATTGGTGCTTTAGTGATTGATCGACATGATTCTATAGCACAGCCCTTTCTTCAGCCCACTCAGAGCTGACAAACTGGTTATTTAGACATCAAAGTTTCTTTAGTTATATAAAAAGTGTTCTCTTTTTCTATAAAACATCCTTGACTCTTTCATTAAGTAATAACTTGCAGTAATAAGTTGCATTCAAAAAGCACATGCTATGTCTATTCAGAGATCCAGAATAAAATAATAATGAAATTATGAACAGAACTTGGAGAAGCTCTGGCATTGAATTAATCCATACACACATGTCCTGCCTTAACCCCCATAAAACCAGACAGTGTGATAAATACTAGCAAAGAAGCTAAGCTGATAAAGGAGAACATGAACCAGACATAGATATGCTGCAAGATGAATAGAGTTTGATCTCCTTTTATGAATTTGGAGTGATGAAAGACAGAAACTTTTCTAACCTCTATTGTTTGAGTGGCCTTCGGCATCAAATGTAGATGACTAAATTGAACAGAATTTCATTGTTTCATTTCATTTCATAAAAGCTAGACTAAAAGAGAAAAACCTGAACAGAGAATATATCCCTTTTCTCATGCTGCCCATTAGAAAACATATGGGCATCTCCAAATTGTGCACATTAATTCAAAGGTATCAGGTGTGTCTCATTAATTTTTTTTTTTCCTTTTTTGTCTTGGAGTTCAGAGGGACAGGGTCTCAAGGTTTTTTTTTCATGGGAATAAGCACAGAAACCTGTGAATTCATTATATTCAGCTGTTTCAGAGAAGACATTCAAATAATTATGCCTTGAGTTTGGTGAATATGATGAAATAGAGTAGTTTTTAAAATAGCATTATTTTTTGTACAAAAATCAGTTTGAAAAATGGTTGGGTTTTTTCCCCGGGACAACATACCAGATTTTGCATGTAATGAAAATTTCAGATTCTGTTTCTAGCATAATGAGGCTTTCTGAGCACTAAAAGGGACTGCTAGTTTTAAGAGTTTAGAAAACTTAAGGTATTTAAGGCTGCAAGGATGTCAGAAGTCCTGTGGACAATTCTGAAGGATCCATTAGGTCTGAAAGAGAGAACCTTCGATGTCTCTGATATCTGCTGAAAGACAAGTGTAGCAGGATGGAAGAAGTGAAGATTTCTAGAGGGTGTCAACAACAGCTTCTGAAGACGACACAGAGGTATCACACAGGTGGATCTGCTTTTCACAGGATCTCATGCGAGCCAGATCTGAAGGATAAAGTTACCCAGAAAAGCTTGATTGACTTTAAGGACTGTATCCTCCAAATGTAGGAATGATCACTCCTGATAGCTAGAAAGATAAAAATCCTGGCTTAGCTAGGCAGGTTACTTGTGATGGAGCTTCAGTGAAAAAGCAGTAAAGAAGAATTGGAAGCAGATACAAACTACAAAGAAGAAATTTCTAAACAATGTCTGGGCCAGGAAATGTGTCATGCTTTCCGTGTCAGGAATGCCAAAGCTCAGCTTCAGTTAAGAATTACAAAGGGCAAATGGCAACAAGATAGTGTGCATCCATTGGTGCGGAGAGAACTGATTCTCTTGCAGAGTCACCCTCTACAGTGTTTGAAAGGTTTTGGAGACTGGGGAGATCCTTGATGACTGAGTGAATGCAAGTGTTGCACTTGTCTTTAGAAGAGGGGGCAATGGGTTTACCAAGGGTGAATGATGCCTGACCAATCTGATTGCCATTTTATGTTAAAACATCTGGAATTGTAGATGATGGGAGGACACAAAATATCATTTACCTTGACTTCAGCAAGGCTCCTGACTCTCTCCCACAATATTCCGTTACCCTAGATAGGATATTACAGCCATGAGGAGTGGACAAACAGGTAACTATAAAAAGTAAACTGCCTGGGTAGTTGGGCTCAGAATGTAGATGCTAATGTGTTGTGGTCTGCATGGAGGGCAGTAATAAGCGTTGCAGTTGTCTTGTCCTCGCTCTTGTCCTTTTCAAAAATTTAATCAATGATTTGGAGGAGGTGACAGGATGCTTGCTCACTGAATTAGCAGGTTATACCAGTTTTGGGGGTACCATTCAAAACTTCTGAGGCTCAGGCTGGAGGTCACACTAACTCTAGTCCAGGATTGTCATGCTAGGTGTCATGAACTCAGGTGTGAAAAATGCACCTGATCAGGTTATTATCATTCCTGATGCTCTAACAAATCTTCTTCAGAAACCCCTCATTAATTCAGTTATTGTATTATTTAGGTTTTGCCACATTACCATAACACCAGGATCAGTTGTGTGCCAAAGATTATGTCTGGATTTTTTTTGCCTCTGATGAAGATACCCATGTTTTCCATGGATTTTAGTGGATGCCCCAGCTATCATGGTCTCCTGGAATAAGAAAGGAAATTGCGCTGTATTTCATTTTGATAAAGACAGTAATAAAACTATAGTGTTCACCAGGATAACTTCAGTGTGGAGTTTCCTCTGACAAAAATTTTAAGCACAGTGTAAGAGAAGTAGACAGATCTTTACAGTTCTAGATG